CTACTAGAAAGTTTCTAATCACTAATAAGAATTCTCTCTAATCATCACATTACCCACGCCCCATTCTTCATGTGTCCTACATTATAATAAAAATAAACTTTTTTTTCTATTTGTTCTTAAAAATGAACTTATCACATGTATCAATCATATGGCTAAAAATATTGCTATCTAAAATTTTAAACAAAATACTTCATTGTCTTATTTATAAAAATAAACAATGTTTCATTTGAGCTCAACTGTCTTTCTCAGTTGATTTATCTCTTGCTCATTATTCAAATTCTTCTACCATCTCAACTCCTTGTCTCTCTTTTTGCACCTAGCTGTGGTCCATACAACTTTTCTCTTGGAGAAAGACGTCTGTACACCAACGTGTACCTTTACACGAACTTGTGGAGGCTCTCTCATCGGCACTACATGTACCTCAATGTCCGAACTCCCAAGTTTAAAAACTCTCTGCCATCTGGTATGATTTGGGTACCTTTGATTTAGGCGCAAATTGCCGTACTGACTGAACGGTTTTCTTTAGCGCTGACTGGAAATTCTCCTCGCCAGCCTTTCTCTTCGGAACATGAACAGGAGTGGGTTCCTTTGGTTTTGTCACCATTCTTCCAACTTCTTACCCTTCTTGTATCTCAAATGAGCATCTTTGAGCCTCTTCGTGGAACACTCCGGATTTTTGGGAGTCTCATTCTTTTTCTCTGGCGTATCTTCACCATCAGAGTCATCTGAACTATACTCGCTACTACCTGAGTCTTCTGACATGGTTCCAATGATCTCATGAATACCATTGGGATCCGACGTCTTGTCATCATCTGAGCTTTTACGAACGTTGTTCTCCTGAACATGTCGCTTTCTGTGCATTATCAGATTAGCATTCTTGTTCGATGCATAGTTACACAAATCACATATAAATCTCTTTTCTTGCTGTTTCAAACCACATTCCACAATGTGTCTCTTCAGATCTGCAGGGTCCAGTGTCTTGAATAGGCATTTTGGACACTTCTGAGCAGTCAGATTTTTGCTTGATCTCTCGTACAAATCCTCCAGTACAGGATTGAGCCTTTTCAAATGTGTGGAATTTGTATCATAAAAATCTTGTATGACCTGCTCAATTGGGCTCAAAGTGGTAACTATTGGGCCCTTGTGTGAAACTTTTACATCTGACGTCAAGTTCATGGTTCTAATAGGATTGCCATTTCCTCACATTGGCAAGCACTTTGCATTTTAAACCTCTGTCCGATCTGATGAATGTTTCATCTGGCTCAATCATTAAAATTCCTCGAAGTGTTGTTTCCTTTTCTTTGAGACAAATGTCACAGTAATTATATTACTTTTAGGTGGGTCACTCAGAGTATTTGCTTCTGCAATCTTGTAGCAGCCAGCAACAACTGATGAAATCAATGGAACTTCATTTCCTTCTGTTTGTCATATCTATTCAACAGTTATTTTCAATCATGAAATCCAGTCCCAATGCACCGTCAACTGACAGTTTTGCTACAGCTACAGTGTTCTTGTATGATCTATCACCGATGTTGAGATTTAAGACTGTCTTCCCATAAACTTCAATTGGCTCACAATTTGCAGGGAGAATATCTCTAGTAAGGTGTATGAGTTCCTTTCCTCGCACTGGAATTTCGTTATGCAGTTCTTTGGAAATCAGGGAGACAGTGGCGCCTGTGTCAACCAACATTTTCGCTTGAATACCATTGAATGAGACCTCAACATAGATACCTGGATCACTGATTCTGTTGTTTATACCAATACGAGCATTTTTCTTATGTTTCATTTTCTTGTCTCGCTTCCAAGAATTTGTAGAATCGAACTGTTTGGAAGATTGTTGGTGCTCATTTGTCTTGGTCTGAGATTGGTCTTTTGAACATATCCATCTTGGATTCTTTTGGAGCTTTGCACTCTCTTTGCAAATGACCCTTTCTTCCACAATTATGGCAGGTTGCTCTTTCCAATTATTTTGAAAAAAAGCTTTTGGGACCTTTTGGCTCGAGTAGCTCCTTTGTTAAGTCTGATTCTCTTTTATGGATTTTATCTCTTGTCTCATATCATTCATCGCTTTTCCCATGTATTCAACGAGCTTGCTTAGTTCATATATATCTCTCATTGTCTTATTGTTGCCTATTGGCAAAAAATTAGCCAACATACATGTATATCAATTTACAATGTATGTAGACAAATACATTTATCAATTCAAGGAGGAGCTATTGTAATTAATCGTTTGCTTATGTCTAAATTATGGTACACTTTGACGGTTATTTCAATCTCTCAATGAGCAAGCGAAATTATTTAAAAAGAGTGTTCTAATTTTGTCTGGAATTTTGGCGCATGTATACTTAGTTTCGTATAAAACTATGATACCGGTAAGTGTATATTGTGGTGGCTTGAAAGTAAGTGATATTCATTTTAAAATGTTATCATTTAGGCTAAAAGTTTTAGCCAAATATTTTTGTTGCCCAAAAGAATTTATAAGAAGGGATATATTCAATTATATTTTGACAAAGATTGGCAATTTAAAAGCAGGCATAGAAATATTTTTACTACAATTTAACAAAAAGATTACCTATATTTTATACAGAATCATTTAGTGCCTGTATGTATCTTTATAATTAATTCTGATAAAGGAAATGATATCTTTGTGATCCAAAAATAGTGAATGATATTATTAAATGTTATATTGGAATCATTTTATTAATTATGGTGTAATTCATGTGAAAGATGTATAATTTGAAGTTATTCCTGGGTTTTTGCCATTTTCTAGTATTATTGAAATTATACATCAAGATCATTCTGAAATAAGTGTACATGTATCATCGATTAAGGAGAATTATGTAAAGAACAACGTACAGTTTCAATGCAAATCTGGCCATGTATTTTTCTAAAATATGAAAGTGATGAAAGAAATTATGCTTTCTGAAATATTGAAACTCCATGCACTAAGATCAAACAAATTGTTAAATTTTTCTCATTTGTCTCATGTTGTAAATTTTGAATTTACCGGGTGGCAGTAAATACAAAATTTACAACATGTCAATGTAAATTTTGTATATTTACTGCCACCCGGCAAATTCAAAATTTACAACATGACATTTCACTTCCTAAATGCTAATTGTAACGTCATAAACCTGTGCATTTTCCCGTATTTTCTTAAAACGTTGCAGAAGACATCAATTTCAGATAATATAGACCACGTGCATCACCCACAAAGATTTTGGGAAGGGTGATTTTTCAAAATATTTTACACAGCATATCCGAATGTTGAAGTGTGCGACTGTTGTGGACACTATTTTCTCTAGGAAAATACCTCCTGGAATGAGCCATTTTGAGGGCTTTTCTGCTTAAAACTTAGAAAAATACGAAATTAATGACGTCATATTTCAGAATGGTCCTCCTTTATGTCATATTCTTTCATGAATTATCACACTCATATACTCAACTCATATTTATACCGATTTCAACACTTTTTAAAAACATTAAATTTTTAGGGCACAATAAAGTCAAAACCGTACCTTCTTCTTTGCTGTCTATTTTACCAGATGAATGGGAGAAATATGTTTTTACATGTAAGAATGAATATAGATCAGCCTTCATTATTCCTGAGTTTATATTTATTCCTGGGTTTATAATTTCATTTAATTAGAAAATAATGCGTTTAATTCATGTACTACCAAAGCATCTTATAAAGTATTGTTTGAAATATTATTTCAAATAACCTGTGTAAGATATATACTGAAGAAACAAACCTGGAGTAGTGAATGAAAATCCCCGATATACTAGTAGTTGAATTAGATTTTAAACTACATGTATTTGAAAAATGGTTTAAAATTGGAAAATCATAATGAAATTTAAGCCCAATTTGTAGAACTAACAATGAAAACATTATACATTTTTTTTTAAAAAACATGTGATGAATTAATAATTTTCTGATTTATCATTTAGAGCTACTTTTAATAGACTTAGCTACTTGTGAGTATAATACTAGGTTAAAATTTGAAATATATTCATGAGAACATTCCACGTAAGATAAAGGATGTTAATATACTAGTACTTTTGTGAATTTCTTTTATATCTATTTGTGGATTTTGTGTTTATAGAATACGACAATTATTTTTAGAGAAAAATCCTTTAGTCAAACCTGACTGAAGATATTTTATTATTCACTGTGTTTGTAAAAATGTTTATTATAACTTTATATACTTGAGAGTGATGCATATATTCTTATTTGCTAAATATCAATAAAAGATAATAATAATTTTATAAATGTGTTTGTCTCTAAGAAAAAAAAATGATTCTCGGGATTTTTATTGCTTGGGTTGGAAACCCAAGAATACCATTTTTTGTTAATCATAGAATAATTTTGCCAAGAGAATTTTCCGCGAAAGAAGTTTAATTTGCCATTATTGATTTCATAAATTTCAATTAAAAGAATTTTTCTCTATACAATATGAATGCACAAGCTGAATATGATCTTTATACACTTGAGGCTGTAGGCATTTCAAACGCCTTTTTCGCCCATCGCCTTAGCTTAATTAATCGCTATAAATTTCGTCGTCATTTTTTGTTATTTACAGTGTTATGAAATTTGTCTACATGGCCGTAGGAACGGGGGGGGGGACGGGGGGGCGTGCCCCCCCCCCAATTTTGCCGATATATAGATTTTTTTTTTGCTTGTCAAGGATTTTTGGTAGTTGATAGTGCCCCCTCAACTGAAAATGTATGGCTGTGCCCCCCCCCCCCCCCCAACTGAAATTGCTTCCTACGGGCCTGGTTTATATATTTTTATTTTTTAAAAAAAGGCAAATAAAGGAATTAATTTGAAATTTGAATTATAACTCTTGAATGTGCCAGCAACAGAAATCCGGGAAGTAGAGGTCATATAATAGTACATACACACAACAACTTCCTTTCAAATTGACAGCCTGAAATGCGACGGTTTATTTTTAGTTCCAAGGACAGAAGTCATGTGATACATATACACATGGTAGAGCTGTTAAGGTCTAACATTCGGGCATTTAACAATGGTTTCTTTGACAGGAAATAAAGTTGCTGCCTTTTTTACAATATTTTTCATCACATTCCTCTTCGGCTTGATACCCCCCATAGTTGTGAGATGTTTAAAGGGAAGGTTTATCAGATGGAGAATCCAGAATGTCATCAGTCACCTGAATTGTTTCGCTGGCGGAGTGTTTTTCGGAACCGCAATGTTACATCTGTTGGCAGAATCTGAAGAAGACATGAGAGAAGCCTTGGATGGAAGGAACGGCACAACAATCCACTACCCTGTTCATGAGGTAACCGTAAGTTGTGGATTCTTCATCATTCTTATCTTGGAGGTAGTACTTTTAAGAATAATGCGTGGAGTTGGGCATGGCCCGGGGGAGAACAATGACTGCTCCCAGAAAACTCGTGACGGTTACAAACCACTTCCGGAAAGTAGCAAAACGATTCCTGATGCGGAGACTGTAGAAGATCATCTCTCTGCTTCAGGTGTACATGATGACGTCAGAGAGGCTATCCTGGTGGCACCATCTCCACTCCGGGCGTGTCTCTTTGTCCTGGCCTTGTCTCTACATATGATATTTGAAGGTCTGGCTGTTGGTCTACAGGAGACGGAATTAACAATCTGGTCTCTGGTGCTGGCAATATCCTTACACAAGTGTGTTGTGTCGTTCAGTGTTGGAATGGAGATGCACCAAATTTTGGGAACCGGGTGTAAAATAGTCGCCTTTCTTCTTGTGTTCTCGATACTGTCGTCTGCCGGAGTCCTTATAGGCATGGCTGTCACACAGGACGGCCCCAATCAGGCGCTGACTATTGGGATCTTGCAGAGTATAGCCACGGGAACATTTTTCTATGTGACATTCTTTGAGATTCTACATCGAGAATTTTCCCACTGTCACAGTATTACCAAACTTCTCGTCTGTTTAAGTGGGTACGCTGTTGTTGCAGGACTAAAAACTTTAGAACAGGACTGAATCTTAATCTGATATAGAACATCTTCAAGGATGTGTCTTACAACTATGTGTACCATATTAGTATTATAAAACTGCCATCTGTTTTAAAAACCCCTCCCTAAAGTCATTACTATTTTTTAGAAGTCTCCAGTACATTGTATTAATATTCTTGTTGATACGTTTTTCACATTCTGGGTGAGTACCTGGTTACGTTCATAGTAAACTGTTTGTATTGATATTAATAGTGCTTTTGTTTAATGAAATCAAATGATAGTGCTTTTGTGTAATGAAATCAAATGAACAAACAAAAGCAAAATTATGATATTCATGTACGTGGTTTCATAAAAAATGTGAACTCAAAACCGGAATTGAATGGGAAGTTTGAGCTGTGCCAAAATAAATGTGTTAACAGTATATTACTGTATTAATTAAACAAACAAATGAACATTGTATTAAGTTTTTGAAGTTAAAAGAATAATATATTCAGTATAACCAAACAAAGTTTTCTTGTTTTATAATGTTGCCTACTTCCTCACTTGGAGGAAATCTTTTGAAGGACCAGTGCAAGTTTAATCTTCCTAGTATGGTTTAAAGAGAGATAATGAAGAGAAATGAGTCAAACTAAGAGAAATTCTAGACCCTGGAAGAGTTTCAAGTGCATAACGACTTTACAACTTGTATATTAATGTTTTTACTGACCAAGAACTCAAATTTTGTGACTGTTTTTTTTTTATTTCAAATTTTTTAAGATTATTGCTTCTTGAGCTATCGTGAATGGATCCATATTGAATGGATAATTATTAAATAAGTACATGTAGATGTAAGATTGGAACATTTTAAGAACATATTGAATATCTACAATTCGTCAAATGAAAAAGTGCAGATTTTCAAATTTTGAGTTCAATTTCAATTTCACATCCAAGGTCCAAAAAGGGGAACAGTTTAGGTTCAAGTTTACAATATATAAAATTTTTTAATTGAAATATTTCCAGAAAGCTACCTAAATGCAACAGTTTGTCAAATGAATTATTATGGACAGTGAACATTTATTTACATGTATTTCTTTGTAAGAACAATTTTGAACAATGATGAATACATTATGTAGATAAGGTGTTTTCTGTACCGCCTTAAATTTGAATTCAAAAGCAAATTAAAAATTTTTCCTCAATTTTTTTTTCTATATAGATGAAGAAAACGGAGTGAATTTCCCAAATTTATCCGGATAACTGAACGGTTTAATTTTTATTTCATCTTTTAAGGTTCCATGGCACATTACTCGATTGATTGATAAAAATATACAACTGTATACAACATTATCAGGATCTACATGTCTTTTGAGCTGTTTTTATTTAGTTTACACGAATTATACTAGTACTATGACATCCGTGATGAATGATTGATTACAAGATTCAAAACTATCTACATCAACTTCTCTATATTTTTCAAATTCAAACATTTACGTTAACTATTTTCTTTGAGATTTACTTTAATACAAATGCATCCGGGTATCCTAATTCGCATAAAAACTTCAGAAAGAATTATGTATTCTTTTTATACCTAAAGTAGAAATTTTATTAAACAAACTTAAATTTATGCTCATGTACATTGATGCATTTTCTGAAGTGTGGTCAGTTAAGCGTTTTTCCCCCGTGAAACTGAACACAAATTATTTCGTTATACGAATTTGGGTACATATTACATCAATAGAACTCGATATTTAACTATCATCCCTTGAAAAAAAACACAGACAATATACAAATGTATTATATACAGATATACAATATACAAAAGGAGTAAGTACAAAATTTAGAACAACTTGTCGATCATGTTTTAAATGTGTATTTAGCTCCACCCTGTGAATTAAATATCTATAACATGACACATGTAGAAGGCAAGCTTTACTGCCTAGCTGAACTTTCCACAGTTTGCAGTGTCCTCGATCTTAAATGAATGTCCCAGTTTTCGTCTTGTTGAAATTTTTAAAGGTCAGTCCTTTGTCCACATATTAATCAATAACAACTTGAGAGGCCACATTTCTCGTCAGGTCATCACGCGTTCAACCAAATATATATCATGAATAAAACACATGTGGCCAAATCTCTTACCTGTAGGACGCCGTTTTTAAAAGCATTTTTCTGATGTAAGACAGAGAAACTTTGATAAACAAAAATTATTTTTGGTGTCAATGATATCATATCAAAAATTATATAAAAATAAGAATGTAAAATATTTTTGTGTATTTGGCTGAAAGAGATAGCAGATGCTAATCTAGAGATGAAAATAATCATAAATGCTGGCCACTAGGGGTTGACCTTTTCACCTGGACGGTAACGGGAAAACGATTCATTGGAATGCGGTTGTTTAATTGTTTATCAAAAGATGTATTTGGTTAGGATGAAGGAGTAACCAATAGTATTAAAGTGACCGGAGGACAGTTTGTGGTAAATTAGCTACAACAAATAAAATTTAAAGATTATGCAAAAGATTGGTAATGATTTTTTTAGAGTGCATTAGGATATTAAAGAGTGTTGGTGGACAGAATATTTAAAATTCAAATTAAAGTCGTTTTTGCAAATTTTGAAGGAATTACAAATATGGAGTTGTACGGATACAGGGGTATAAAAAAAGGCGGCAGGGACGAACACAGTTTAATCGGAAACTGGACTGTGTCTGTCTCTGCTTGCATTTCATACAGGTGAGATCAATTTTTAGACTTTTTTTAGAAATTCATATATGAATACGAACAAAACGCATGATCGGACCAATGTCATTCGGGACTCTGTCGTTCTCAAACTTCAGTGTTTGAGGTTTAGAAGGGTTTATTTTAGGCTGGAGTCCAGAATGAGGTTGACCCGGTTATGATAAATGGTGGAGAATCCGGGTATTTTTTCCTGGTATATTTCTTGCTGATATAGAAAAATCGATTATGTATTTAGTATTTACCATCAACAAATCAAAATTTAGTCTGATTTCGTGTTATCAAATAATTGGATTTGTAGTATCAAGGGATATTTTTTCTGATATCAGAAAATCAAATTTTGATATCAATACTTATTTTCTGATGCTTTAGAATTTTTCAAATTGAAAAATCAGTTAATTGATATCAGTAAATACGGGTAATATACATGCCTGTAAATATGACTTAATTTATGTACCACAAAATACATGTACATGTATAACTCTCTAGCTCCATCTTGTGCTCAATTCAGTCTGTGAGTAAATGGATTAACACCTTTGGATTAACTATTTGATAACGCGAAGAATAACCAAATAAGCAAATTTACAATGCTGTTGAGTATTGACTGTTCAAAGAGTATCATATATGAGTAACTGAAGTTTCATTTTACCAGTGTTTACTACGTCTTTATGTCTTTATGTTGAAGTCACATTTAGGATTTATAAATTCATAATCCCTCTAGGAAATTTAGATTCCTTCATACAGCTAGTCCTTTACCCAGTTAGGCGCAGTTTAAGCATTTTTTAAAAGTATTTTCTGATATCAGAAAAAGAAATTTTGAAAAACAACAAAAGGCCCAAGGGCCTTAATGGTCACCTGAGTATAATACAACACTGTAAAGGTGCAATAGAAGTATAAAATAAAAAAACTGACAGATGAAGATACATTGCCCAAAATCAAGAGAAATACGATTATCAAGGATCAGCAAAATAGTAAGCATAGCACTCAGTAAAAAAAAAGTCATATTAAGCAAATCTTTTAATTTGCCTGTACTTGCCAGTGATAATACACTATTGCATTTTCCCTACATAATCATTTGAGCCCCGCCCACCATGTTGAGGCACCCTCATTATAACCATTTACTTAGGTTATCTGCTAGATACACAGGTGCAGAAGAAGAGGATTTTCAAAGAATAAATGCATTTTTAGTATAGTATCAATAGAGCCCTGTCCTAACACTGGAAACCCCTATCCAGAGGCCATAAATTTTGCAATTTTGAAAGGGGCATCCTTGTACATCATAAATATGCAATTAGTTTGCCTACTTTTAATACCCAGACGCTAAGAAGAAGATTTTTAAAGAATTTATGTATTTTCACTATATGATCAATAGAGCCCCGCCCTTACACCAGAACCCCTCAACCAGGAGCCATGCATTTCACAATTTTAAAAAAGACACCCTTGCTCATCATTAAATCATTCTGAGAGTATTGCATCAGCAATACTAGCCCCCTACTGGAAAATGTAATCTGGTTCCCGTTTATTCTCACAATCTCAAGGTTTTGTGATGTCGGAACTCCACACAAACCCTTGACATAAGTCGTTATTTAAAAGTTGGGCTTGTGGTTACACATGACGTAATGGGTAATTATAAACTAACCAATGAGAATATATATTTTTAAATCCGTCGTTATCAAATTGCCCCACTCCAGAGTATATCTTTTGTGATTGTGAGGAGGACGATGTTCCAAAAATTAATCCCCGATGTTTTATTTAAAGTAGCTAGTCACAAATCCTACAATATTGACATTTTCCATGTTAAAGACGAGTCATATTTGCTTCCAAACTTACCTACAATAAAAGTTGTTTTCTGATTGGTTCCGATCCTAGACCAGGAACAAATGAATTAAATAGTGGCTTTCTAGCCCAACATTTAAATAACGGCCTATGTCATGGGGTTGTGTGGAGTTCCGAAATCACAAAACCTCGACATTGTGAGGATGGTTCCTGTTAAAAATTGAAAATGTCATAATTCCGTCAAAAATCATTGAAGTGGAACAAAAATGCAAACTTGATCTTTAACTCATCAAGGTAGACAAACATCAAAAATCAGCTTTATTTCTGCAAGAGTTTAGATCTAAAAAGTGTGGAAACCCCTTGAATATTAGAAAGGTCGTTATTCCGTCAAAAGCATCAATGTCTGCAAGCATTAAGAAAAAACATGCGGAAAACCAAGTGGGACAGACAGACAGACGAGGAAGAAACCTATAGTCCCCTCTAGTTTCACCGGTAGGGGACTAATAATGCACTTACTGTAGTTTGTACGTTAAATATACAGGGGATGAAAAGAAGCTTTTTAAAGAATGCAACTATGGATTTTTACTATATGATCAATAGAGCCCGGTCCACCCTAACACCAGAGCCCCTGAACCAGGGGCCATGAATTTCTACAATTTTGGTAGAAGGCTCAATGCTTATTACAATCATACCAAAAGTTTAACTACTTGATGTCCAGGAGTAAAGAAAAGATGTTTAAACATTGCATTTTATTAGTCTAAGCGCCATCCCACAGGCCCAGGGGCCAGCAAAGGCGGATCCAGCGCCGGGCGTGCGCCCCTCCTCCTCCCCCCCCCCCCCCCCCCCGTTTGAATTTTTTTTTAAATTTTGTTTGTATTATCCTAAAATCAAGGGAAAAAACACCTCTTATTTGTTAGAATTTGTCAATTCCCCCTGGACCTCCAACAGGGCTTTGCCCTGAACCAGCTGGGGGTTTCAATGCAGCCCCATACCCCCTGCCTTCTACTACCCCCCCCCCCCCCGTTATGAAATTCCTGGATCCGCCGCTGGCCAGGGCCCATGAAATTCACAATTTCTCTTCCTCTTCACTTATAAATGCTATATGCTAAAATTGGTTGAAATTAGTTCAGGTGTTGAAATTAGTGCAGGTGTTCCAGAGAAGAAGCAGGAAATGTTCAAACGTTAACGCATGACGACGTACGGACAAAAACATAGCAAAAGATTTGGGGGGAAAAAATTGTATGTAGGATGTAACGTTTTACTTAAAAAGTTAAGGACATCTTCAGCTTTGCCAAATGGGTAATTTAACGGTTGAATGATTTCATTACATTACCGGAAGTTGTTTGATTCCGCTTAACAGAAATAAAAAATCGCATGTTTAACAAAATTTTTGGCAATAATTTGGTTTTCTAGGGTTTGTATCTGTTATTCATAAATATTGCACTAATATTCAGAGAAAAAAATCTTCTTTTTTCCCGAAGTGATGTCACGATTTACTCAAAATGACTGAAAGCACGCATTTCCATTGCTCTTGCTGGAAATTCTCAAAATAAAGGTAAAGGAGAGTTGCAGGGGCAAATATGTACTACATCACGACTCATCTAGATTCAATTAAGAAAAATTTTCAAATTGATTCGGTTCTACGATGAAATTTGAAAATAATTTGATAGACCGGGTACCCTTTTTATTGTTGTAATCTTCAATCCTGAGGAGCGAAGATCTTACCTCAAAAAATCAGAGGAGTTCAGAGAGCAAGATTTTTGTAGAAAAAACGTCGTTTTTTTTACCCCAATCATCCCCCAGGGTGAAAATAGAAATTCCGAAACCTTATTGCATATCTATAGGACACCTTCAACAAGGCCACAACTACCATTGAGGCTAATGAGGTAAATGACTCACTAAAATTTTGGAGTTTTCTCTAAAATGAACAAGTTTTACTTTGAATGAAATATATGGAGATAACGAACAGTATTCAAGCTCAAAAGTCCATTAAACATTACAAAATAGGTGCAGAGCAAACAAGGACCTCCAAAACATCAGAGGTGGGATCAGGTGCCATGGAGGAAACTTTAATCAATTATATGTCTTTGTACTAAATTAATACTTTCAACTTTTGTTTCAATTTCTGTAAATAGATCACCTCACCAGGTGCTTTATTATAGTTTAGAATTTACCCCGTGCCCGCTTCGGATTCGGGTGGTCCCAGACCCCTTGCCTCACTAAAAATTTGAGCCTAGTTACTGCCTTGCCCAACCATATTTCAAAATATGAATGGGCTACAGCGAAAAATATAAGAGGAGTTCAGGGAACCAAATTTTTTGTAGAAAAACTTTTTTTACTCCCATTTGGATCCTATGGCAAAAATGAAAATTTCAAAATCTTTTGCACGTGTTCAAGGCACCACCAATCACATTCCAAAAGGGGAGCTGTCTACTGCTTAAAATGTTTGAGGTAAAAGATAGTGTGACAGACGTACGGACGAGAATAACAACAATATACCCGAATTTTCTTTAGAAAATGGAGGTTAATAATAAAAAAAAGGTTTAATTTGACCTTGCGGTGTCAGGGGAGAATCAATTAATTTAAGATTCTGGGGAGAATGAATTATTTTTTTTAACCTTAACAGTTACTTTTTTGGGAGGGGGGATTGGGGGGGTTGAGTATCTACTATTAAAAAACCTCCAATGGAATTCCCTTTATCACAAATGATTTTTTTATCAAAATTTCGAATTAAATAAAATGATTTTATGATATAAGAAACATTTTTTTTTTTTACAAATATCAATGCCTTTATTAGGATCAGAAAATCCTTTTCTGATATTAAAAAAATCGAACTTTTGTATATCAAAAAATATTTTAATGATATTAGAAAATACATTAGAAGTGATAACAGTGCCTTCATATGCCCGTTTGCCATGATTTGAGTATCAATGATAGGCTGCAGAGCTGTAGCTCTCCGAAAAAAATTATTGAGTCTGGATCTGGTCGTCCATCCCCGCCATTTTTTCTTAGACCAGCTAGCTACAGATCTGTAGCTACACTGAATCTATCCTACGCAGGCTTAGACAAGCTTTAAGGTCCATAGCAAGGGTTTCAAAAGTGGGGGCTCCATCCTCCCAAGAAATCTGACAAGCAAAAAAAAAAGAAAAATAAAATAAAGAAAGAAAGAGAAAGAAAGCAAGAAAGAAAGAAAGAAAAGAAAAAAAAAATAACTGTAAAAAAGGAAAAGGGGGGGGCAACTGTCCAAAATTATCTGAGCAAAAAAAAAAACAAAACAAAAACAAAAACAAAAAAACGAATAATATTAATTTCACCCACTGCTCGGCCATACAGCAACAAAAAGTAGGAGGAAGGGATGGCAACCAGCATCTATATGAAAATTTACTATAGCAGTATACTATACTCAGAAAAAAGTGCCCCTCCCCCGTGTTCTACGGACCTGACTTTGGTATAATTGTTATCATGTTTTAAATAAATTGCGAGTCAGAACTCAGACAGTTTATTTTTGCTATTTCTTAACTGCATGTCTCCCCCTTGAAATAGTCCGCTTTTCAGTTAAATGATTTCGAATCCTTAACACATACTTGTTCCTGTTCTAGAGAATGTCTAAAATATGGCAAAACGCCAGACAAATAGACAAACACTGAATAAAATTAGATTTAAACAAAACTTGCCTAATATGCGTCAAATAATTATGCACAGCACACATTTCATAGTTTATATAAACTTACTGTTTATATCATTAAGCGATTTTTGGTATACTTTAGCACATTTACAAATTGCAAACTGGAAAATTTTATTTCGGGGAGGGGTATGACATGGTATGACTAGAGCTGATGTTGATTGTCCAGCGATGAAAAAGGAATCTTTAGTTTTCATTTGAGAACATTTTTATGGCCCTTGAATTTTGAAGGGGGGGGACTTGTTTAAAAAAGTATTTACAAGGACTTTATTAATTTGTATGCAAATATCATTGATTACGGTGTGTGTACTTTATGGATAACAATTAAAATAAAGTCATTTTTTTATGATCATTGAGAATTTTAACCAAATTTTTACCCTCAGAGGGTGCTTCTGAGTTCAGTAAGATTTTTCCCACAGGAAAGTACGACTTTTTAATTGCACACAGTATTCTGAGATCTAGCTTATTCAGTAGTCAGTATGACTTGCTTAAATAGTAGATCACCAAAAAGAACAAGCTAATGGATCTTTACTGTATATAGTATAGTACCTAGAAAATATTCTAGAGAGAGAGAAAAAACACCGTGAATATGCAGTGTGGGGCAAATCATCCCAGTCTCTTTTTTCTCTCTCTCTTCCATATTTTCATGACCATTGCGATTTTCCATAGACGCTCTCCAAGCTATGAAGGTAGAAAAGTCAGAAGTCATAGTGCGCCACTATCCTCCTTGTTGATAATTTGAAAAATACTATCACGATGTCTACATGTATTGTTATTTGTATTTCTGCATATAGATAAGCGTGAACACAGGGGCACTGTGTCGCTGTGTCCGTGATCGGAAGGATAAATGACCATGATTAAAAGCTGTCATCTGGTCTGTCCAAACAGCACACATGACCCCATCCCTCTACCTGACAGAGAAGCAGTCCACGTGGGTAGAAGTGAAGCCACGAGGTGCATCGACCCTAGATGTTCCAGAAAGCAATGTAAACAGTTAAGCTTAGTTTGTTAAATGCTAATTTAACTGTTCATTTAAAATAGTATCAGGAGAACTCGGTCTCGCATGATATGCCTCAATATTTGGAAATGACTCAGACTTGCCAGATATACATATGTGAACAACTTGTAAATAGAAAAATATGTTCTCTAGCTCTTCCCTAATTTTCAGTCGAAGTTGTTGTTAAAATATTCCTAAAAATGTATTGTAGAATGATAAAGATGTCAAAGCTAATATTACTAAATCAAACAAAAACTTAAATAAAAAATAAGGCTTCATTGTTAATTTAATGTGCTATGTAATATTAATTTCCATTTTCAAAACTGTAAGAAGAAAAAAAAACATTTCAGTGGAGGTGACTGCTGATTGGTCAACGGGAGAAGTGACAGTCAAACAGCTCGGTGCCAACTCATCGGCCATTGATGGAATAGAGTTAGAGAAAGGTACAAATTATTAGCTATAGCATGTATAGGGCTGTCATTGATGAGAATTTCAAAATCAATACACCAACTGGCAAGAAGTATAATTAATAAATTGATATATCAGGAAACATAGAAGACAGAAGCTCATTATAGACTATAGACAAATATGCAGACTTCTTGTGAATTTTTTATTTCATGAAAAAATCACTAGAATATCAAGTGCATTATTAAATATTGTGCAATATGCAACTCTTTTTAAGGAATAACAGTTTAAAAAGCTTTAGTATAATCAGGTCTGGGCGGCCTCCGTTTTTGGAGGATAGCTAAATTCAATATGGCGGCCAAATTTTTTACCATATAAGGAAACCGCGTTGCATTGTGGGATAGTTTATCCTCCGATTTCAGAGGATAATACAGGTAATTTTCAAAGGCCTCGTGCCTACCTTTAATCAAAAAGTGCAAGCACCAGAGCACATGCAAATAAAAGTTCAAGCATTAAACTATCGATTGTATGTGGCGATTTGAGATTCTATGTCTAGATATTTTGCAATTTATTTTCAAAGTTAGCACTTTTTGCGCTCCATTATTACTGAATATTTCTTGTTATTTTGTTTTATTTTTTATGATTTTTCCCTATTTAGACAAACAAAAAAGGACTTTAATATTTCTTTTATATTTTCTTTTAATATAAAAAAAGGAAACACGAAAGGAAACGCATTTTAAGCGTATTTAAAACACAAAATATACTCTGCCTTATAATTTAAGCAAATAAAAGTATAAACAGATAGATTGAATGAAAAATTATAAAAATAAATAATTAATATGAATAGCATAAGTAAATAAAATAAATAAATTAACATGTTTACTAAGAAATTAACATATATTCATACAGCCATGTGTACACATAAACAAATAAAATATTACAAAGTGATGTGCTTAAGAATTATTAAATGAAAGAAATAATAAATGATTAAAATTAATTTTTCAAAAAAAAAATTGTTTATCAAAATTTCCAAACTGCTTATCACATAATTACGGTACTGGAAAATCAGCGTGGTTAAAATTAACCTCAGTCACAGGTAGGTAAGTGCAATATTTGTTTTCCAAGCTGTATACCGAATAACTGATTGACGGCAAATTACAAAAATATAGTTATATTGATTTAATATCTGGAATTATTCATCATCATATGAAATTGTACCTTTTATTTGTTTTGATTTCAAAATCAGCGTACGGTTCATAAATGCAAGAGTTGCTGTTATTTGTTTGGTTAAGAGTTAACTGCCCTTAGTTTTTAAAATTCCGGTAGGTGGCAAGACCGCTATCCTCTGTTTTCAGAGGATAAAATCTATCCTCCAAAAACAGAGGCCGCCTAGACCTGATAATGCAGATGAAATAGACCTATGGTCTTTGATTTACAAATCCATAAGCTCCCAGTATAGTCAGGGTTTGACATTAACTTTTATGAGTACTAGACCAGTCGGGCTACTTCCCATAGTTTTTACTAGCCCTGACCATTAAATCACTAGCCCCGACTAAACTTGAAAATTTTCTTTTTATAACCCGGTATTTTAATGAAAAAGTTCGAAACCATACTATCTCTAGCACGTGTTAAGATTACACTTTCCATAGGTCGCAGCCCATTGAGTCGGATTATGCGAAACATGCGAATATTATAGGCTTTAAAGAACATTCAAAGAAATTTAAAAAAATATTACTGTAAATATAAATAAATTAGAGAATATATTATTCGATAACTTGGCTAGTTTCGATCGCGAATTGTCTATTACAGCCGGCTAAAAACAGCGATTGTGCCATGCAGGGAAGTTTTCTTTTTCAGAGCGATGGCTGTGTTTACAATCGTAAAATTAAGAAAATTTCTTTAAAAAGTTTTTAGAACATTTATTTGGAAGACTGCAATGAGGGTTAACATTTATTTCATCCACACGACCAGTCGGTCTAGTTCACGAACATTTGACACGACCGGTCCGCTTTTTTACTAGACTGGGTTGGTCGGACGTGCCTTAGTGTCAAACCCTGATAGTGTAGCTGTGATAATAACTCCATACATGCACTCTGCCACAAATTTGACTATAAAATGTATTCTTAATTAAAGCATGAAGTTTCTTATGAGCTGTTTTAGTCATATTGCTTTGTAGCAAATGTGCATGTATCAATATTGCATCTTCAGTGATACACTGATATCAATTTTTGTCAGTGAGTCTTAATGTACAAGTGTCTTATCAGAGTGTTAACTTGTTAGCTTGCATTGCAGACAGAATATGCAAGCTCTCGGTGGATGGCACTATATATCTTTTGGCTGGAATGTATCCTCAGAAAGTAGAATTCAAATATATGAAGTCCCCAAAATCAAGCAATACAGCTACAACTGAAAACTCAAAAGACACTATAAAGGAAAAGAAGCGACAACCAGTCAAGAGGCCTGCATCCAATATCACAGATTCTGCTCAGGAGGCGAAGAAACCAAGAAAATCTGACTTCAAGGAAATGGGGAAGTCAAATGAAGTAGATATGAAGAATGATTCAGCAGACAGAACTATAGAGGAAGACGAGGAGGATATAAAACTTCTGGAACAAAAACTAAAAATTCTTAAGAAAAATGCTGCAGAGAAAAAGTTTACTTTCACATCAGACAGTCACGACTCACAGTCTAAAAACGGACAGAAAAAAATCCTGTCTGGGGGTAGAGAAAAGGGAGCTGCTGTTGACTCCTCTGGATTAGGTTCACCAAAGAACCCCTCAGCTCAGAACTCTGGATCTGGTTCATCCAAGAGTCCCTCAGCTAAGATCACTTCAGCTGGATCTGGTTCAGGCAAGAACCCCCCAGCTAAGACCTCGTCAACTGGATCTGGTTCTTTAAGCAATTCTGTGCAGGAAACAGAGGGTCCACCAGCAACAGAGACTAAATGGCAGCAGTTTGAGAAACTGTATGTATGTACACGGAAAGGAGTGATGGCCAGAAATAAGGTATTAAGAAATATTCATGAAATCTTCATTCTATAATACAGGTTCAATACATGTTTGCAGATTGTTTGAGCTCTTGACATTAAAATGTTAAAAAAAATGTTCAGTGGAAGAGGTGCCTTCAGTTAGAACAATATCATTTCCGATAAAATTTTGAGAAAACAATTGGTGATATTGTAATTTTTTTTTCTTAGATTGCTGGATTTGATATTGATGGAACCATTATCACAACCCAGTCTGGTAAAACATTTCCAACTCACTCAGGTGACTGGAGGTAGGCATTGGTCTAATGCTGTAGATGTGTCCTCATTATTCATATCCATTTATGTTTTTACTTTAACTATCATTGCTGCTGATACATTTTAATTGCAAATCAGGTTGTTTACATTAATTTAATTTTTTTAATGAAAATACCCTAGTGTATCATTCAAAGTTGGTCGATTACTTCTTTGAATAATTTGAACATACCTTTCCATACATTTATATTGAAGGGGGGGGGGGACCATACATTTTGATTATTATGAAATTGTACCCCGGTAATTGGTGTTTCAGAATACTTTACCCTGAGATTCCAGGGAGACTGAAAAAATTGCATAATGATGGCTACAAGATTGTCTTCTTCACAAACCAGGTTAGAATGAGATTATCAACTAAAGACTGTTTTCTATACTAACCAAGTCAGAATTACATCAGTATTAAAATCAAATGAAAGACAATAATGATCTCAATTGTCCTGATGTATCTATTTTTTAATATCTGACAGCTGGGTGTTTCTAGAGGAAAGACCACCATTGAAGAACTGAAGACTAAATTTGGCAGTGTTCTTGATAAGCTCGGTGTTCCGGCACAGGTCTTTTGCATTAATTATATATTTTTTTAAAATCTTATTTGAGTTTTCTTAAGTTCTGTTGTTCATTTTGACCAAAATCTGGGAATCTCTGAATCGGTACATTTGTATTAAATTTATGTTTTGAGGAAGTTGTGCAAAAATAGCACTGGTCAGCCTTTTTACAATGCAAAATAAAAATTCTGTAGAGCTCTAAATTTTTATGCCCTGCCATAAATATGGCCTGGGCATTTAGTGTTTGTCATGTCCATCCTTCTTTCTTTCCATCTTGGCCTTCTCATCCTTCTGTCCCTCAGTCTGTCCATCGCACTTTGCATTTAGAACAATTCCAAAGAAATTATTCAAGATATTTTTATCAAACTTCATATACTGATACATATTGGCTACTCAACTGTTTCAAAAAATTTTAACTTGTACACTTCATTCGATATTGACCTCACTTATCTTAAATTTGCATTTAGCTCAGTTTCAAAGAAACTACGGTATTGAAGATATTTTTATCCAAACACATACACTGATACATATTGGTGAGAACCAATTTATTTTTTACCTTGACCTTCCATATGATCTTTGACTTTACTATTTATTGTGTTTTAAACTCAGTTTCAAAGAAGCTATTTAAGGAGGCTGGGGGGTCAACAAATTAACCATCAGATATAACTTAATTTTTTAAATATGATATCTGAAGCTGTCAACTATCATTTGGCAAACAAAAATGTCATACATTTTAGTTTTAAAATTTGATCATTTTTGTATATCTTTATATGGAGCTCTTCTTCTAAAGGAGATCAATATAGTCTGAAAATGGCCATAACCACCCAGCCCTCTTAAGATATTTTCATCAAACTTCATACACTAATATAAATTGGTGAGAGCTTTTCAACATGTCATAATTTTCTGACCTTGTCCTTTATGTCCTGTGGACATATTTCTAGTTCAAATTAAATATAAATGAAGGAAAATAACCTGTGGGTTTATAAAATATTTCTAAAAGATGAGTTTGTTTATAATTTGCCAATAGATCCTGATTTCCACTGGGGGTGGAATCTACAGGAAGCCGGCCCGGGGGATGTGGGACTTTCTATGTCAGGTAAAGCTTTGATTTGTAAGTAATGATCATTGTGCAACTCTGTTACATTAATATAGAAAATTTATAGTTTTTTGATCCCCAGCAAAATTCTTAACAGTTGTCTGTAAAATCTTATAATGAACTCTGATAAGGAATTTACTAGTGTTTTCAACGAGTACCTGGTTAATCGTCGAACGATGCAAGTATCAGTTAGTAAAACTGCTACTCGGTTACTCGAACACACAGACAAAAGTAGAAGAGAAATGTTATTTTGTTCAGAAATGAACACATCCATTAATTTACTTACCATTATTTAATGTTAGACTTGATCTAGAGTTTCACAAACATGACCGAGTTGTTTTGATAACACTTAGTTTATTGATAGCTTTGATTGCCAAGGGGTATACAATGTACAGTAAGAGACCAGGGTTAATTATAATTACCCCACTTATTCTGTACTTGTCCGCAGTACAGGATTAATTTTAAAAAAGATGCCACCACAGCTATCAAAAGCATAGATTCCGAAATATTTTAAAAGGATTTGAATCTGAAAGGTGTAAAATATGTAAAATGAAATTAACATACACGGAAATGAAACTAAAGCAGCGTTATATTTAGGACACCTTGCAAAAATTGCCAACTATTACTGTATATTCGAGAACAAATTCATTTAGAAGCTTTAATTTGTCTTTTTGTAATCAAAAATAAATAAATGAAGTGCAACTACTGCATTTGCGTTTGATATAATCCGGTATATGAAATTTAATGTTAAACATGAAAATTGTAACGACGTTACATATATTACAGTTATTATTGAATATATACCGTGAGCAAGGATGTTTAGAGGTCTGAAGTAAAACCATCCGAGTAACTGGTTACTCGATCGGAAAAGTAAGCGAGTAACCGATTACTAAAAATCGTCCGATTTGACAACACTAGAATTTACAGATGTACTGAACTGATTTTGTGTCCTGTAGAGGTTAAAAATAATGAAATCTACATCTTTTATTGCAAATTTATTACATCTTGAACTGCCATTATTTTTTTGTAAGTATTTTTTGTAAGGTAAGTTTTGTAAATACATACCTGAACATATTTGTTAGTTGTACATGCATGTATATTGGGAGTTTGCTGTATATATATTTTAACAATTTTGTTTAATATACGGATTTAATGAATTATGGATAAAGTGAAGTAAATTCATAGATGCCCAGCCTTTGCTGGCAGGACTGATGGCAGCTTAGTCTTAGAACATGAGGTTTAAGCTTTAGCTCAGAAGAGTAGATTTTCTAATTTTTACCTTTCAGAAAGCTAATAACGGTGTCAGAATTGATACTGATGACAGCCTATATGTTGGAGGTATATACTTAATATTTGTTATTTTTTCACTAGGCTGTAACTAAGAGAATGATTGAAACTGTTTATTATAATGGATACTAGTATGTACATGTATATACCTTTCATACTGCTTACTGAACTTTAAAATATAAAATGTACCTTTTGTTGTGTTACTGAACTTTAAAATATAAAATGTACCTTTTGTTGTGTTACTGAACTTTAAAATATAAAATGTACCTTTTGTTGTGTTACTGAACTTTAAAATATAAAATGTACCTTTTGTTGTGTTACTGAACTTTAAAATATAAAATGTACCTTTTGTTGTTCACCATAGATGCTGCTGGAAGACCAGAAAAATGGGCAGCCAAAAAGAAAAAGGATTTTTCTTGCAGTGATAGATTGGTAAGAGATTGCTGAGAATTATTGCTGCTTGTTAGTTTCTTTGTTTCAAATTCACACTCTTGTACAGTACTCGGTTTTTTGATTGGAAGCAAGATATTATGAATTAAACAATGGAATCACCAGAAATGTAAACCATTCTGTAGGTAGTGTGAATTTTTTGCTGCAATTTAAAAATGTTCAAATTTTGCCAATGTTTTGCTTAATGACATTCGAAAATATTGGCGCATTATTAAAAAAAAAAAAAAAACAATATGGCAAGTGGGAAGTGACAGGTCATGTTGTGATATATGTATAGGATTTCACAACCATAATTATATTGGTAAACTTTTCTTGTCTTTGAGTCGTCTTTTGCACACTGGGAGTCCTACTATCATTAATCTTTCTTTACATGTCTTAACCCAATATTAAATCATTATCGCTTCATTTAAAAAAAAATTCAATGCATTTTAATCTGTTTCTGAATTGTATGGCACAGTGATAGGTCTAGAATGGTCAAACTTTTGAAATGAAATGACTTTTAGCAAAAGCATGAGGAACAGGAAAGTAAAGAAATAGATTAAAATTTTATCACTCAAATTCTGACCTCTGTTCGACTTGGAATCATTTGTTTATTTTTCTTTGGGCATAGCGCATCATGGCCTTATGGATGTAATGTCGACGTGATTTCTTGATGAGCATACATGTTCCCTTGAGGTGTGCTTTACTAAAATTCAATAATAATACTGTATATTTGGAAGAATGTTTTAAATTACAGTTTGCACTGAATGTTGGGCTGAGATTTTACACTCCAGAGGAGTTTTTTATGTTCCAGAAAACAGCACCTTATTCTTTACCCGAGTTTGACCCAGTAAGTATCAAAAGGAGATCAGAAATGGAAGGAAGTATAAATCTCAAAGTAATGAAATCATAAATGTACTACAGTTAAACTTCGTTATCTCGAAGATGATGGGGCCGTTGATGAACTTCAAGATATCCGGGGGTTAGACATATCAAGGGTTATAATTCAAATGAACCTCAAATAAACTTAGTGCAGTGAACATGTACTTTTAGTTAAAACATGTCAAATTCCTTCTTGTTTGAAATTCTGTATACAATTTCTTTAATATACATGTACATGTATTTAGCAATGAAAAGATTTTTACATCCTCTTTATAATTCACAAAATAAAAACTTTGTATAATATGCATAGACGTATAATCCTTCTACCAAAGTGGCAAGTCAACCGCTTGCATCGTTTCCCATTTATACATAACTGGATATCGACTGTGCATTGTAAATTTAAAACCGGTCGCTGTCAGAATAACGGAAATGAAATATTATTTTCTTTTTTGGAAAAACATGTTCATACATGTATAATCAGTTAAAAGAAAATTATTTTACCATAATAAAATCAAATGCAAAAGAAGAATCACGCACTTTTGTCTAACAACAGAACAACACGGAATCACAGGGCACTATAGTTTTCACTGCAACACACGCTCACGCACATGCTGGTGTGTACGAACGAATGAAATTCTGCACGCTCATATAGGAAAAATAAATTCTAATTGCATTAAATTACAGAATTTTGTTTTTCTTTGATGTTTATAATTTTCACTTTCATATGCATTACATGTAACTATGTAAGCGCGCATATCTCACATAGCATTAAATAGCGATTATCAAGAAAAAGGTAACCCAAGCCACGAAACAATTAAGTGTCATCCACCCGTATGCATTAGGCTAATACACACAACCTTTGGCTTGCATAATTAAAATCAAGGTTTAGCTGTATATATATTTCAGAGGGCCATAGACACAGGTGCCCCTCTGTTGGATCCTCCCAGTGCCTCCATTACTTCCAAATCACAAGAGGTTGTTGTCTTGGTGGGATTTCCAGCTTGTAAGTTGTTTAATTGTCTAATGTGTAAGCCTCCTTATTTGCTCTGTTTACCAAAGCAATCTGAATGAATGGATCTCACCTCCTTCCTCACATTTCTTGTAATTTTTCACACAAAACCAAACTTCAAACAAGAGGCCCAAGGGCCACATTGCTCACCTGAGCACTGTGGCTAGAAAAAAAGGAAAAATCAGTTTAGTATTGAAAAGCTTAAATGCATAAGTGGTCCCAACCTACCCCTAAAAAGGGAATTGGGGGGGGGGGGGGTCATGATTTGAACAAACTTGAATCTACACTATCTGAGGATGCTTCCATATAAATATAGATGCTTCCAAATAAATATGACCAATCATAGCTTTGCTGTTCTTGAGAAGATGATTTTTGAAGACTTTTCCTATGTACACCTATGTTAAACATTGATCGTCCATTTTGGCCCCACCCTATCCCTGGGGGTCATGATTTGAACAAACTTGAATCTACACCACCTGAGGATGCTTCCATATAAATATGACCAATCATAGCTTTGCTGTTCTTGAGAAGAAGATTTTTCCTATATATCCCTATGTAAAACTTTGATTGTCCATTGTGGCCCCACCCTACCCCCGGGGGTCATGATTTGTACAAACTTGAATCTACACCACCTGAGGATGCTTCCATATAAATATGACCAATCATAGCTTTGCTGTTCTTGAGAAGAAGATTTTTCCTATATATCCCTATGTAAAACTTTGATTGTCCATTGTGGCCCCACCCTACCCCCGGGGGTCATGATTTGTACAAACTTGAATCTACACCACCTGAGGATGCTTCCAAATAAATATGACCAATCATAGCTTTGCTGTTCTTGAGAAGAAGATTTTTGAAGATTTTTCCTATGTACACCTATGTTAAACATTGATCGTCCATTTTGGCCCTACCCTACCCCTGGGGGTCATGATTTGAACAAATTGAATCTACACCACCTGAGGATGCTTCCATATAAATATGACCAATCATAGCTTTGCTGTTCTTGAGAAGAAGATTTTTGAAGATTTTTCCTGTATATTCCTATGTAAAAATTTGATCGTCCAATGTGGTCCCACCCTACCCCCAGGGGTCATGATTTGTATAAACTTGAATCTACACCACCTGAGGATGCTTCCATATAAATATGACCAATCATAGCTTTGCTGTTCTTGAGAAGATGATTTTTGAAGATTTTTCCTATGTACACCTATGTTAAACACTGATCGTCCATTTTGGCCCCACCCTATCCCTGGGGGTCATGATTTGAACAAACTTGAATCTACACCACCTGAGGATGCTTTCATATTAATATGACCAATCATAGCTTTGCTGTTCTTGAGAAGAAGATTTTTAAAGACTTTTCCTATATATTCCTATGTAAAACTTTGATCGTCCATTGTGGCCCCACCCTACCCCTGGTGGTCATGATTTGTACAAATTTGAATCTACACCACCTGAGGATGCTTTCATATAAATATGACCGATCATAGCTTTGCTGTTCTTGAGAGGAAGTTTTTTGAAGATTTTTCCTATATATTCCTATGTAAAACTTTGATCGTCCATTGCGGCCCCACCCTATCCCCGGGGGTCATGATTTGAACAAACTTGAATCTACACTACCTAACAATAATTCCACATGAGTTTCATCTTTCCTGGCCCACTGGTTCTTGAGAAGAAGATTTTTCAATAATGCCATTAATTTTTTGCTATTTCGTAATTATCTCCCCTTGGAGGAGGGTGTGGCCCTTCATTTGAACAAACTTGAAACCCCTTCACCCAAGGATACTTTGTGCCAAGTTTGATTGAAATTGGCCCAGTAGTTTTGGAGAAGAAGATGAAAATGTGAAAAGTTTACGACAACAACGACGCCGACGCCGACAGACAACGGACAAATTTTGATCAGAAAAGCTCACTTGAGCCTTCGGCTCAGGTGAGCTAAAAAAAGCATTGCTTTGCAAAGGGGGATAAATACATGGACTAGTATTTCTGTAAGCTCTTTGCATACCTATGTAATATTCCAACATAATTTGTATGAAAAGATAATCCTGAAAGGAAATTGTTTAAGCTTGTGAATTTGTTAGATTTTCTTTCTTATTCATCATCTTTTAAACCTTGCTTTATGGTGATGTACATTTTTCAGGTGGAAAATCATTCTTTTCCAAAACCTATATGATTCCTAAAGGATATGTGCATGTCAATAGGGTAAGAGTGCACTAGATTTTGAGTATATACTGTAAGTTGATTTAGGTGGAAAGGCCATGTAAATTCCATTCATAAAAGTGTAGATGCAGACTATATGTGGAAAAAAAATAAGCTTCCAAATTATTTTATACATACAGAAAACTTTACACAATTATAAATGCATTTACAGCATAAATGAAGTGAAAAGCAGAAGATGCATATTTTAACAGAAAAAAAAACTTAAGCTTATGCACTTGTTTGTAAAATATAACACTTGAGGAAGAAACCATATGAAAGATAATTTTGCAGGAATTTATTTCCACAACAGGACACACTAGGGACTTGGAAGAAATGTGTAGATATGTGTGCTAAGTCTCTGAGGGAGGGACAGAGTGTGGTCATTGATAATACTAACCCAGACAAAGAGACCAGACAGAGGTAACTACACACCATACTCCACATATAAGTACACTAAGTCAATGAGGGAGGGACAGAGTGTAGTCATTGATAATACTTACCCAGACAAAGAGACCAGACAGAGGTAACTACACACCATACTCCACATATAAGTACACTAAGTCACTGAGGGAGGGACAGAGTGTAGTCATTGATAACACTAATCCAGACAAAGAGACCAGACAGAGGTAACAACACACCATACTCTGCATACAAGTACACTGTAAAAGACCATTTAAAATCCCTGTAGCCTACAATATGATTTGCCATCTAGGGAATTCAAGCTAAATGCGAAAATGCATGAAGTCAGACAATCACTCTCTGATTGTCATTATTATCTTGAACTTCACATGGAAAGAAATTAAGGTACAGTAAAACATGCTTATAACTAATTGCCAGGGACTGATGATTTTGCTTAGTTATAAGCATAATTTATTATATCCAAAAGGTTCAATATAGATTTTAAAGTCACTGAGAATAAAAATCACTTTGCTGTAAGATTCAATTCATTATACATGTTAGCGTGTTCTCTATAAGTGTGTTTTACTGTAATTAAATAAGGATTTTGAGTTTGCTCACAGAGATTTTTTTCTTCACTCCTTAGGTATATAAACTGTGCTAAGACAGCCAAGGTGCCCTGTAGATGTTTCCTCTTCACTGCCACTATAACACAGGCCAGGCACAATGAGAGGGTATGTTTTACTACATGATAATAACAACCATGACAAACTAAATCATATGACCAGAGCAGGGTTGACATAATGAAGAGAGAGTTCATAGTACTAGAGGGTACTGCAGAAATAAGAGAATTTGTATTGGCTGTCTAGGGTTATTTATAAACTTATCAAGAAGGTATGTATAGAGTTAGGCTTAATGAGGGAATACATTATATACTGGGCAGAAAGAGAGATTGAGAGACAAGGCATAGCAGTTGGTGTTTGAAGAAAGGGATACAATAATTTGCTTTAATGATAGTTGTATTCTATGTGATGAAAACCATTTTCCTTTGCCAAAAAATTAAATATTTTATGATCATCTGCATGTGTATCAATGGAAATATATTTTATTTACAGTACAGAGAGATGATTGACAAGTCTCATCAACCAATCAATGACATGATAATGAACACATTCAAGTGAGTAACAAATCAGAGTGAGGACAAATTGTTTCCTTTCCCCAATATGAAGATAAGTGTGTGCTTATACTACCCACTGTAAAAGTTGTGAGGGGAGGGGGATAAACTCTGATGTCTGTCTGTCCATTTTTCTGTACAATGTCTTCAGGCAAGACTTATTTACATGAAGTACTCACATCATTTCTTGGTTTGTTATCCGAACCAAATTGAACCTACAGTACAGTTATATGCATATGTGGATCCAGGAATCCGTGAAAGAAAGGGGTGGAGGAGGGTTCTACCACATAGTTTAGAGAGTTTTCACAACCCCACCCCTTTACTTGTGTACGTAACATCTTGAGGAGACTTAGAGACAGTTTTAAGACTTCCTATTCTATGAACTCTTGTTGACCACCCCAGGACTTGCAGGTGAAAGTCTAGTTAGAATAATCTAACTTTGTCTCAGGACAAGCCCTCATCACAGTTAGAATACGTTCCATATACTTGCAATGTAGCAAATCGGAGTGGATCCACTCCGAAATGATTTTGAAGAATACAAAAGGAGTTGCACTGAAAATAACAACCAAATTAATCATAACAAACCTTTTTGTGATTGTACATGTATATGCCTTTTAGCCTTAAAAATAATCCATATTAATACGAAAATTCAACTCATTTTGTCAACGTTTTTTCCTCTCTTCAAATTTAACGCCATGTTGACATTCGGAACTCTCTGGATTGTTCATAGAAAATGCACAGAGTTCGAGTTATCGCCCGTGTTTATTTTGCAACATTGCCAATACACGGAACGAATTCTATCGTTAAACCGGGTCCGTAGGACAATATCATTTTAACGATTGAACATTCTATCTAGTGAAAGTCCTGCAAGGGGTTAATAAATCGGAGTGTCTTCAATGGTTAAGACAATTAATGGAGAAAGGCTATATGAACTTTGGATATTAGCCTGGATAGCTCAGTGGTTAGAGCACCTGACTAGTAATGCAGGGGTCTTGGGTTCGATTCTCAGTCTTTTTTTTTTCCTTTCCTTTTACTTCCATATATTTTACCTTCTATACAAAGGAATCTGTATTTCTTTAATTTTATGACATTTTTTTTTTTTTTTACAGATCTAAACTAAAGATTCCAGAGTTATCTGAAGGCTTCAAAGAAATTGTACGAGTTAATTTTGTGCCTAAATTCAAGGATTCTGAAAATGAGAGACTTTACAAACAATACTTGTTGGAAAAGTAAAACATGTACTACATGAACAATTTATCTTACAATAATGCATGCATCATCAAAATATTAGGAATAAAGAATTGTTTATTAGCTTTACTGACTTAGCTCTTTGTGCTGATTCAGGTGAAGCTATATTACCTGTATTGAGTAAGGATATCATAACCTAAAACAGAACCCATACATTTTTATTCTACAGTGTTAATTGCTCTTTTGTCATATCAAACTACAGATTTGAAATTGACAAGATTTACCTCCCTTTCTTGGCATTAACTACTCTCCTTTAATCATCTAATCATTAAATGATTAATAACGTATTTGGCTGAATATAATATACATTGTTGTGAAATATGCACCCCCCTCTTTTGGCTTGAAAACTTGGGGAAAAATGCAGTTCGGTTGTATTATATGCAGTAAAGAATTGACCAGCGGTATCTTGAGTTTTTTACAAAACAAACACAGATCACAACATATACCAGACAATGTGTGATCAAACACATATAAACCTTCTCTTTCATTGTTGAAGACTTTATTTTAAAACTAAGTAAAAGTTTCTTGCTTGGTAACAACAATAGTGAACACATTGTGGTACTATATAGGAACTAAATAGGCTAATCTTTTTCCTTGTTTGCACTCTTAGGCATTCTGCACAACAAATACACTGTATTTTGTTGATACATGAACGTTTTATATCACTTCAAGCTCACTGCTGAAGTGAGATTGTGATGCTCCTTTGTGTGTCTTTTAACCAGGTCAGATTATACACAGCTCTCTAAATCATTCATGTCCATCTCCTGGATTTGTCCTGTCAAGTAGCTTCTGAGTCATTTTCAAAGTACTATTTGTATTAGCTTTACATTTCCCCACACTGTGTAATGACCACAGCAATCTTTGGCTTGTTGTTTGGCCCTGTGGGTACATTCTCAATTTTTCTTAAAACCAGAAGTCCATCAATCACTTTTCCTGAAATGAACAAGACCCATCAGTAAAAATCTTCCTAGCAAAACGCAACGTTTAAAGTTTAAGTTTAAATCATGACCTCCTCCCCCATCCCTAAGGGGAGGAAGGCCCCTTAACATTTTAATACTAACAACTTTCTGCTTTTCTCTAGCCAAAGTGCTCACATGAGCAATGTGGCCCATGGGCCTCTGGTTGAATTTACACAAGTACAAATTAAGTAAAACCTGAATGCTCCATTGTTTAAAAAGAATAGAGTTACTTATCAGTAAGACTGGTTTGCACAGACTGCCATAAAGGATAAGGATAGAAGTATTTCAAGCAGCCAACTGTAGTTGTAGAAGCATTTTTAATTTTCAAATTTTATATTAAGGAAATTTATATTTTATCAGTATTATTAGAAAAATCATACCAAATACAACATGCTTGTTGTCCAGGAAATCACATGCTGCACACGTGATGAAGAATTGACAGCCATTTGTATCTCTGCCACTGTTTGCCTGAGGTAAATTTATACAAAATAGAATTCTATGTCGGATACACATGAAAAATTCTTACGGTTAGATAGCCCAAATAGTGTATAGTGTTGCAATAAGAGATCAAATTGACAAGTTAATATCGATTTTCAAGTTGAATCGATAGCAAACAGTTGTTAATATAATCAATAGTTTGAATTTTCATTAAAAGTTACATTAAATAAAATTATTAATTGAGGTTACATTAAAGAAGGTTAACCATTTAATAATATTTCGATATCCTCATACATGGGACAAAATTTCAATACAAATCTGTGAGACCAAGTTCAAAACATGCAAAACTATTTGATGTTAAAATTTTCTTTTGATCGTTGCCTTCAGCCACTATCATAACACTACTCTTAGATATTTGCAATTTAAAATGATTGTACCATAGAAAGCATTCCGGGCCCAGTGTGTTTAAGTTTAAAATTTTCATCGGCAAAAGGTCCTCCTCCGTAAATACTGCAGACACCTGTACCATCTCCCTGTAATCAGAAAGTAACAACTGAAGAGAGAGTAGAATGTACAGCCTTGGTGTGTAGTATGAAGTTTTATCTTGGATATATTATTTACAAGGTGGTCCTTAACTTATTAGCGCAGAGTTTTGTGCATGTTTTATGAAGAAAGTGTTTTTGAAACATACAAGGCTTGTCCTAAAATTCCATGAACTGAGCTCATATCTTTTCCAGAAATAAAATAAAAGTATCTCTAATTTTTCATCATAAATATCATAGCTATAAATCTGAAATATCTTGATTGATAATACATGTATATGAAATAATTTTAAGAAATATGAACAAGGTACAGGTATTTCATTATGTACATATAATATATCCATGTATCCAATACATGTAATAGAGGGCTGAGGATTGCCTAGAGATTTCGTATTGCGATACTTCTAACTATATGTATTGCGATATTTTCAACGAAAATTAACATGGTATTTTCTTATTTTATCAACTTCCATTTACATGCAGAATGTAAATAACTATGATAAATGACCAAGAAAAAATATTTTGTTGATTTAAATTAATTACCTGTACTCATGCATCGAAATACACCAAATGCAACAAACTTAGCCCCACTTAGCATGAATCATGGACCCACCTGACTTTTTCATAAAGGATTATGCACTCATTGTAATCATATATTAATCAGTTTGCTTATTAGATGCCCTTTAAAAGAGATTTTCAAAATGTAAAGAATTTTCAGTAAGTCACTTACTTAGCTCCATCCTGGAGCCTGAACCCGGGGGCCATAAATTTCAAAATCTTGGTAGAAGCCTAATATTATAATCATGCCAACAGTTTGACTGCTTAATGTCCAGAGGGAGAGAAGATTTTTTAAAAATGTATTGATTTTGCAGGTTTTGGCCCCACCCTTCAGGCCCCTGAGGGACAGAGACCTTCAGATTTAAAATTTTTTGTTCCCCTCTGCCTACAGATGCTATGTGCCATTAACAGATGGCTGAGATGGCACAATGACAGACAAAAGAAGATAGTTTTGTAATAAATCACATGGGTGACCCAGGTGACCCTAAAAATGTGTCATAATTTAGAAGTTGCTAAAGCAATTGTTGCAAGGCTATATTCCCCAGAGCTAGCAAGTAGATTCACTTTCATGCTTTGGCTTGAAAGAGTGTTGGATTTAAATCTTCCTTTTGTTTTCCTACAAGCACTAGGTAATGTGTTTATCCATTACTCAGTCCCTAAAGCATATTTTATATTGCACAATATTAGATTCAATTCAGTTATAAAAGTCCTGATATGACAATATAGTGTCCCTCTGCTTTTCAGGCAGCTCAAAAAATTCAACATTACCTTTATAAAGTCTCCACCTTGTACCATGAAATCTTTAATCACCCTGGAAAATGATTTAAAATTCATTAGGAATTTAGGTAACAAATTTTTTAATTTTATTTTTAATTATTTTTTTGTATATAACAGGAAGAGAGAAAATGTGATAGAATAGGCCAGGATTCAACTGGGGTTCCGTAAACTCTAAACAGGTGCTCTACCAACTGAACTTGTTTTACTACCTGGCCACTTGCAAACAAACTTGCCTATAGTAGAGAAAACATTTTTGATCCTTAGTTAGATTTACCCCAGGTATAATCTTACTCTGTGTGAATGAAAGTTAAAATTCAATCATTATCTGTTTCACAACAAATCCTGAATAATTTTGAGAAATTATGTTTATACACTATATCTCTTGTTGAAGCAGATGTAGAGGCCATTAAATTGAGAGGAAGCTGGAGTATTCTAATTGGAGTACCTCGAAAGAAGTTTAACATTACCTGTGAAATGTACAGGCTTTGTATCCCATTGGTACTCCATCCTTCCTATACTCTCCTGTGCAAAATTGTCTGTATTGATAAAATGAATAGTATTTTTTTAAAGTCCATATGGTATATAAAAAAGCATGTGTAATTACATTTTTATCATAAAACTCTTATCCAACAACTGAAGTTTTGCCAGCTTTGAGAAAATTCTATGATTATTTATTATATCCACATTTCAATTGATAAAGTACAGGTCTGGCACAATCTCTTGATATAGCTAATGCCTATATAGCTTGAAATAGCTATATTGCTTTATAAGCTATTCAAAATGATTTAGCTCTTTTGTCATACTATCCACATCTCAACTGATAATGTACAGGTCTGGCACAATCTCTTGATTTAGATAATGTCTATATAGCTTGAAACAGCTATATAGCTTTATTAAGCTATTCAAAATGATTTAGCTCTTTTGTAATACATGTACTTACTTATTTCTTAAATGTGCATTTTGTCAGAATGTAAAAGAAGTTGCACTTTGGTGCAATGAAAGTTTTTAACGTGATATTGTTCCGAAAACAATGGATGAAAAAATTGTTCAGCAAACCATATCTCTTCAATAGACTTTACACTCAAAGTTCTGAAAGCTTTAGGGCTATATAAAGAAATTGATTTGTGACTACACAGTTACTTCTTGAATGATATTGTAAATGTGGTCAATTCTGGTCAACGAGATAATTGATTGGTAATAATTCAGCACAATGTGAAGTAATCGTACTTATCCATGCCTTACTGCACACGAGGTGGTGAACTGTTACTCACTGGAAATACATCATTTGCCTAAATGTGTTCAAAAGCAGCAATATTTAAACTATCCTTTATTTGGAATGCTTTTTTAATTTTTAGTAGTCCAGAGTACAAATATGCATAGTCACATACTTGAGACTTTATTATATAAAGCATATTTGTGGAAAAAAATCTATTCAAATAGCTTTCTTCTTCTTCTTCTTCCCTTAATGGAGTGAACTCATTTTGAGTGTCAATACTCCAGTAATTCCTTAGTGAACTGCTAAAAAAATCTATGTACACCGTATTAAAAGGGATAAAAAGTTAAAAGTGGACATTTTAGTGGTGTAAAATCTCAGACACGCTGATGGACTGTATAGCGTGTCTGAAGGTGTCCACTGATGGCTTTATCGCGCTATTTTGAATAGCTTAATAAAGCTATATAGCTATTTCAAGCTATGTAGCTAAATCAAGAGATTGTGCTGGACCTGATGTATGTATGTTTTCGGTTGTTCATAAATATTTACCTGAAATTCTCTGCCGTTTTTGGAACAACATCCGCAAACAATTCAAATTTTATCCTTCCAATATCCTAGAATATTAAAATAACATTTCCCATTTGGATTCTCATTTATTATAGTTTTGGCCATTATAATTGATATTAAATTCTCCGATTTTGATGATATGAGGAAATTCAAGTTACTTTAATATTATTGTGCCATCAATCATCTTTCTTTGTATTAAGCACGAATTTATTCTAAATATTTGCTACATACAGTGTTACCAATCGAAACATCAAAGAAGACAACAGGATTATTAGGGTTTGTTACTTTTTCCATGCCTTTCCAACGTTTTGGGGGTTTCTGTAGGTTATCTCGTACTAGATATTATTCGGAGTTAATTTTTTTTCTTAAATGTCGTCTTTTCACGTTTTCTATTATTTTCATATTCCGTACATAGAGATAAAAAGTAAATGAAATTTCTGAACTATGCCATTTTTCATTAATGCATTTCTCTTTAAAAACTCTTATGTATGAATTAATCATTTTATTTCCATTTCGCACATGCGCAATCGACTTTCATATTTGTTGACAGGAGTATCGAAGTCGAGAAGAAAATTATTATTGTAAGTCTTTAGCTTTTAAAGTCTAGTAATTATAATTGATTAACAGCCTTTGTCTATGTTCAGAGTTCTCTATGTGTTATTCCCTTTGAAAAGATATGGATGTAAGGAAGGAATGTCAAATTGCTTTGATCACTGCAAGTGCAACAATGACAGTTTCGCTTTATCTGATCGTAGCGTAATGACTAATGAGTATATATATATATATATATATATATATATATATATATATATATATATATATATATATATATATATGAGTTGAGGTCTGTTTCAGAATATAAAGTTGCAATATTACCCAAATCCTTCAGTGCAACTCTGTAGTGTCGGCAAAATGAGATATCGGGCCTGTTGGTATTAGCCCAGAATACATTACTAGTTCACACAGCATAACCGAAATCTTGTTTGCCAAAAGTCTCACCTAAATATTTCATATGTAAATAAATTAATAGAAATCCCCCCCCCCCAATCACCCCAATTATCAGAGAAGGAATTGTATAAAGACATGCTAAAGTTTACACATTTTGTACAAAAAGCAAAATATTTGTTGGAAGGTTAAGGTTACATGTACCAATAAGTTTTCATAGCGCATTCCCTTTAAACTGCCTAAATATGATGTCATAATGGAATAATAAAGTCACATTACTCAGGGTTCTCATTAACGCAAGAATCTGCATCCTAGACGCAGCAAAATTATTTGGGACGCAAGGTTCTTAAAAACGATGCGTCCGCGGACTCATGAGTGGACTCGTTCTCGTTAGCGAGAAAATTCGGGTGCTTTCGAAAACTGGAGATTTTAGATGTTAGAATTTGTCAAAGAAATATTTAATCCAAACCTTCCTGTAAATATCATAATGTTTATCCAAGAAACAACTTTTCTTGTACATATTTCTATTTTTTTTTAAACAGGGATATGACTGATTATAAGATATTTCTAGTCCATAGTTATTATGGTGTCACATGCCAAACTCCGATAGCTGTAAACACACTGCAGTTTTTTTAAAAAAAACACTTTTGAATCTTGAGTTTTATCTAGAAACCTTAATTACTGCTTGCATATACACAATGCAGCTTGATTTCTCGTGAATTTCACCCAGTGCAGACGACCGACAAGATTAGTTACGCCTCATTGATCATGACACCTGTGATTGTATACAGTCAACTTTAGGGTACTAATTAATTATGCAACAGTTTATTTAAGCTTTATAAATTTATGGCAATTAATTACGTGTGCGTTTTTTAATATGACTTAGATGCATTTATATATTAATATTATATATTATATATTAATATTGCATAAAATAAACTGTAAAGATAATAAAGATTTTTATTGATGCTTGGATGGAAGGATACTGCAATTATTCAGTTGGGACTCAACATAATTTTTCTGGGATGCATCAAATTTAGCTGGGACTCATCCTTCTCAGAAATCTTGAGTCCTGGGACTCAAGTTAGCAAAATCCTAGTGAGAACCCTGAATACTGCAACTTGAGTAAATATGATGAGAAGAGTTTCATTACATTAACACCAAATTTTATAACCCATGTAAAAAAAATTAGGCTATTGTGAAATTTATTTGTCTGGATTGATATTTGTGCTGTTTTAATGATTATTTATTTATTTTGAATAATGGTTTAGCTAATACACAATGAGGTGGGCCCTAGGGGAAAACAAAATGTTGCATAGCTTATATGTTTAGATGAAAAAAGCCAAACTTTAAAATGACCCTTTGGTAACCTTCCTTAAAATATACACACAATAGGTGAATTGCTAAGAATTTTGAAAATAATTATCAAATTTTTAAAAGCTAGTATGATAGGATTCACTCACTGTGTGGTCAATGGACATGATCATAAAAATCCCTGCAGGCAAAGAGATAGAGCTCTGTAAGTAAATTTATATTCTGAAAAATATTCACTGAATATCATAAATGAATTGTCTATGAACACTTCTTCTTTTTTTTACCATTGTATTCACAAGTAATTAAAAAGTAATCATGATTACAGGATTTTTTTTCTCAGAGTAATATTACCTGAAATCTGAAAAAATGAATGATGACTGATTACTCATGATTACACAGCAAAATGTTAGTAATGAATAACAGCTGATTTATCTCATTCCTGCTAATGTGCAGCATATTCAACACCATAACTAATAAAAGAATTTAACTTGTTCCATAGATAGAGGTAGAATTTGTAATAATACAGTAATGTATGTATTAGCTATATTATAGATCGGCATATTTGTTTAGTAAAGACTAATTGAAGACATTGCATTTGAATCAATAAGAAGAGCATGTTTTCTGACTGAATTTTGCTTGGGACTGTGCATTTTATTTTGAATTCTCTTTTGCTAATGATCAGACTAGAAGGGCTTGTGGATTGTCTGTTCTTTCTGTCTGTCCGTCAGCAATTTTTCAAAATGCTATTTCTCCTCCAGTTTTGGTCCAATTTCAATATAAATTGATACATGGGTAGACTTGGTTTTTGATTTGGACAAATAGTGTTGCAATGGTTACTAAAAATAGAAATTTCTTTGAATTTCTTTCAGTTGTTACTTCTCCTACAGATTTGTCCGATTTCAATAAAAGTTTTTAATTTTGACATATAATGTTGCAATGGTTACAGAAAGAAATTTCTTTGACTTTTTTTCCAAAGGCTATTCCTCCTACAGTTTTAGTCTAATCTTGCTAATTGCAATTAAACTTGCATAAAAAAGATACTTAACCAAGTATCTTTATTCAGGACCTTGACTCTATTTATTAGTCCTCTACCGGTGAAACCGGAGGGGAATATAGGTTTTTGCTATAGTTTTCATAGTTTCAGGTCAATAAATATGTTAACCACTTGCCCTGAAGCAATTTTTGTACAACACTTATAAAAGATATGTGTCCATCATGCAATCAACCAAGTCATGACATTTAAAACAAATGCATTAATATATAGCTGACAGAACCCCATATATGCAAATTAGATTACAAATTAGTTTACAAATTAAATTGAAGCTCTTGCTTCCATTGCAATATGTTTTGAATGCATTTTGAGGCTTTTGGCAGCCTTAACATAGCTGTGATATCAGAGCAAACTTATGTCTGAAAAGAAGAGCAGTGTAGATTTTCTGTAAATCAATATTAAGACTGCTACCTCATAGTCTTACTCTGTGCTCCTGAAATATTTTTATACTACTTCTGCATCAAAAGTTTTCCCAGAACTGCCTGTAATAATTAAAAGAAAAAAAATACCTGTTCAAAGTTACTGCTGCCATAATGATTGGCATGTGATATTTTGACCCACTTTGTTTTGTAACTGAATACTGATAGGTTTGACCACAATAGGAATTCAGTGTTTTACACCAAAAAATAAATTTCTGCAAAAACAACACACTACCATTTATAAATTTGACATAAATCCATAGTTCACTGTAAATTAAATTGTTGAAATCTTGAAATACCAATAAAGCTTAGGTTTCATCTATCTATCCATCTATTTGACTCTGGTGAGCATTTTTGCACATTGGCCTCATGTTTGATGGCCTAAAATTTCAGGCCAAAAAAAAAAACAACGTGAAAGCAGTCTCTCTTTATGTTTTGTTATAGGCATTATACAAGAATACAATGTACGCAAGATAAAGTAGCTCAAAGTAATAAATATATATTTAAGATAACAATTGTATAAAAGTAGCAAGATAAAATTATTGAACAAATTTTAAAATAAGTATGCTGTAAATTGCACAGTTCTGAGTGAATGGAAATATATATAGCTCTGGTTGCATGTCCATCAGTAAATAATCAGACAGTAAACTACAGATCTACAGCTAGATCCTCTAGTTAGATCTACAGCTAGATCCTCTTGTTAGATCTACAGCTAGATCCTCTAGTTAGATCTACAGTTAGATCCTCTAGTTAGATCAGGTTATACTGGCAAGTAAAACAAAAATGAATACATATGACAACAGGAAACTTCTCTTGAGTTTGGAATACTATTTTTTTTAATATCTAAAAAAAATCTTTGATTTCAACTGTGATACACTGCAAATTTTGACTCTTAACATTGATAGCACAGATTTTATTTATAAATATACCATAACAAAATATGAGAAATATTTTTTCACTGGCCATTATTCATTTCATTAAGCTTTTCTAATATGTGTACTATGTAAATAAAATTTATCATAGTTCATGTAATGTTTCCTTCTATTAAGTTCTGTTTGAGAAATCTTGCTTAATCTTCATCCATAAATGAAAACATTCTCATGTTCAAAGATATACATCATGTACATTGTAAGGTTAAAGCCTCTAAAGCAGGTCATTTCCTGAGTAACTTTACTCCCAAGCAAACTATGAAGTTTTACTACATCAAAGGATGCAAGCTATTAATCATGTTGAAGATGCTGCATGTGACCTTTACCCCACAATAAAAAACATTGACTGTGAGTAGTACGTAGTAATGAGACATCTTGTTATAATGAGTGATAAGTCCAGAAACTGCTGAATAGATTGGGATAGACTTTTGATTGTGTTCTTAGATCATTTAAGTCTGATGCCAGGCCTTGGGTTGGTCATCTGTGAAAGCATTCACTGAATTAGTAATAAGCCGTGTGTTTTATCCCAGGTGAGACAGTAGTGTGTTACACTGTATAAGTTAAGCTTCATAAAAGACCAGGAGCTAAAGTGAGAGTTAAGAGTCTTTGGAATGAGACAATAAAATCTTAATGCATTTGAAGTTGATGCAGTATTTGATTT